TACCCTAAGATAGACACAATGTGAACTAGGTTTCTTTAGAAATATTGTGAGTAACAAGTAGTTGTGGAAAGTGCGGTGAAATTCATAGCACCTCTTAAAAGATTGAATCTCGACAAGCTTCTGGCACTGTTTGACCGCCGCCCAACTCTGCCCCAGTAAAGTCAGATCAGAATGAACTTCGACCCACTGCCAGGCGGTGACTTAAACTAGGTCTGTCAGGACGCAAGAGTCCTCTTCTTGGGAAGAGTTAGTAATCGACCCAGTCTTCACGCAGCAATCACAGAGGGATCGATCTCGTATCTATTGCTAATAACACCCATCGGGCTTCGCAGACTATCCCCACTAGTGAGACACATTTTCAGCAGAGGCGGACTGGTTTTCATCCCGATCGAGGAGGTGTGAGTCAAATATGCACACTTCATTAGTTCTTCAAACAACTCCACCACTAACTAAAACTTCCCAGCAGTGCCTTACTGGACAATAGGACCGCATACAACTCCGTAGGCCGGCATGCTTTATGGTATTGTCTGCTAAAGAACAAAGTGCCCGTATAGTAAGTTACTACCCTTCGAGTGTCTACGAAAAGCTTCCTTATCACCGGTGTTATGCGAAAAGGATGCCCTGTGCCTCCGGTTCGCTTTAACTGCGAATGAGGAAGTCCGGTTGAGGTGCTTCTGAGTGATTTCAGTATTTTGGCACCTAATTCTTTCTAGGTGGTTGTGCAACCAACTTATACTGATGAGTTCGCCATACTGGGTGACAACCCTAACTGTATGTAATTGTTCCATGACCGATTGGTTGTTGAAACGGTTACCTATGATATATGCTCTACGTTTCCCAAGTGCGAAGTGCCATTGCAGGATTGTCAGCTATCCCATCCTCAGCTCACCATTGAAAACAGCTTGAAGTTGTTTACCCCTGGCCCATGATCGAAAAGACAAGGCCTCCACCCTGCAACTATGATGTCGTGAGTTTAAACCTACTCAGGGGACCGGGCGATCCTCGTATTATCCTTAGCCCACGCGTGACTGAAGGTAGTTGTGTGGCAATCAGCGGCAGCGTATCAGAGCGTGGGAGTTCTGGGCTGGTCACCTGACTCTACATCAAATACCACAAGAACTCATACGGCGCTGTGTCAACCCCAATGTGACCAGCTAAAGAGTCACTGACCACTCATTTCGTAACCGGAAGTGAGTACCTAGTGAAGGGTGGATGAACAGCATTGTTGGCCATCCTCCTCTATGTGTACTGCTACGGAATACTAAAAAGGCGAATGAGCCACCCGGCTGTCAACGGTTTTCCTATTCATCAGCTGGGTGGACGCTCTGGCTACATGCGCGAATCGCCCCGCTGCATTGCGGGTCAGGTCTTTAAGACTAAATGCTCGGGTCCCTTAAGTCAACCCACTTCCTCGGCCTGGGCAACCGGGAAGCTTTCTGCACACACACACACAACACATGGGACTTCGTACTGCTTCCTTTGACTGCTTCTTCCCCTTGTTTTGTTGTTACCCAAGTGTTGTGACACTGCCAAAATTTTTGTCGGTTCGATTCCCCGTCGAGGCAGATTATTGTGCGCAGTTTAATCGTGACTTCTACTTTCTACGAACCTTACGCTACTCATGAACGCCTTTCAAGTAATATTGGCAAAATGTTGAAAATACTATTTAAAAATGTAATCATTACATCTAAATACGGAAGGAAAATGTCTTGCTCATTGTCATGCATCATGCTAAGGTTCGAATGCAATTTGTTGACTATCTCGGTCGCATGTGCGATGTCCACATCCGACATAACCGCTTTTGTAGAGTCACCGATCTCATGATATCATCTTCAGTCATACCCATGAACACGCCCACTATCAATGGGTCTAGTGCACTACTCATCTATCTGGCGCCGTACATGTAATCGAAAGTATTGTTTGACTTCTTTTATGTATAAACGAAGCAAGTTTTTAACACTTCTATGGGGAGCCGAAGTCGAACGTCACGACTTGATATATACTCACAGGTAGTCAACAATCTCATTCAATGAAATATTAGTGAAAAGATACTGGACATCAAGAGAGCACATCCGCTTTCCGGTCAAGCTTACTCGTTCCAAATAAGGAAGTAGTTCGGTGTTTGATAAAATACACTTCACTATGGATCTTCTGATAGACTCAATCATGCTGTACCTCCATCTGGAAATGGAGTGGTACGGTGAATTAGCTATGGAGGTAATTTGTTTTATAGGCATCCTCGCTTTATGCACTTTGACCAGACCATACCTTTGTACAATATACGTACCCAGAGGTTTTAGCGCCCTGTATTCGTCGTTAGAGATGAATACACCGCTGTGCGTTCCGGAACAGCTAACACTGACTCTAGGCCATCCAGGATATGATATGACACTGCGGTTTGTTGATCTATCGCTGTCGCTTGTTTGTGATTGACAAGAATGCATAAAATGGCAACGTTATCTCTCAAACTACGTCTTCTGTCTTTCCAGTTTTAATGCATGAAACCACCGAGATCTTGTCAATAATGGCTGGTGCCTTGCGGTTTCACGATTGGGGAACCGAAGATGAAAGCCAATGGTTTTACAACACTGGAAGCAATGTCGCAAAACCAGTTGCAAGTAACACATTGTGTTCAAGTTTGCATAAAAGCATTTCAAAGCATTGCATTTTTAAACAATGAACTTAACACGATGGAAAGCAGCATGAGATGGGTAATTAGTAGTGTTTTTGCTCCAAGTATTGGTTCATTTCCACTCCGGAGACCTAGTTCCTTGGTTTTAAATAAACTGATATATATATATATATATATATATATATATATAGTATTCCATATTGTCCCCTGAACATGGGTAAAACGCAAATCAAAATCGAAGCAAACGTGCCATATCGTAACCGGTCACTCAACCATGACAGTTACCGGGATCTATTTCGGCCCGCTGACTCAAAGATCTTTGGAAGACTGGTAACTCAGGTTATTCAGATGGCTGTTGAACTGTTCGCTGAGCTTGGCAATTTTGTTGCAAACGTTTCGTCACCAATCGAGATGACATCATCAGAGTAGCTACTCTACGCTATTGCATGCCACTCAACTACGCACTGATGATGTCATCTCGATTGGTGATGAAACGTTTGCAACAAAATTGCCAAGATCAGCGAACAGTTCAACAGCCATCAAACATCTTTTGCTGCAACAGTCCAAGCTGTAGGTTTGGGGCCATCCATCGGCTCTGTGGAATACCACCAGTTGATGTGTCCCGACAGGATGAAGCCGACATATAACGCTCCAGGTAGGTGGCACCCACATACGAATATATGGAACACGCACTGCTGCCTATTCTCGGATGTGCAGCAGCATCGTGTGTGACCGTCGCGAATCGCCTTCGAAATTTAGTCAAAACCACTCATTGTACTAGTCTAAATATGCTTAGCTGCCTGATCTTCTCAGCAAGGGACGTAAAATGTATGCTTAAATTGAACAGTAGTTTTCCATCAAGTCTCCAGTAGGCCCACCACGCTAGAGGGCATCGAATTCATTTAAGAGTACAAGAGAGAAGCAACTTTTAACGTAGCTAGCTTGAATACATAAGTTCAGCTCCTTCTATCTTGCTTATGTTCTATGAAAAATTTGCAGAGCTGAGTGTTTGCTTTAAGCATCCCACTCACATTTCTCCTTGAGATTGACTTGAGTGGGCACCGTAAACGGCTGACCACTGAGTACAGTTACTTGAGTACAATTTAGTCACTAGTTCTCAATACTCCGGTTTTTATGCACATGGCGAAAGTGGTCATACTGTTTAGACTGCTAAGATAAATCACCCAAGCAATAACCCGATTGGAAATCAATGAAATCCGAACTATCACTCACTCGCTAATATTGACACCTTGTATACATGGCATTTGTGAATAAGTACGCAGATTAACTGTGCTAGCTAAAGAGTTTCTCGATTAGATCCTATCATCCAGGTTCTCCTGTTAGAAAGATCCGCCAACCACTCAAGCGTGTGTACCATTATCAATCGCAGTGTTCTACTAAGTACATAATGTTCTTTACCATACATCAGGAACGCCGTAGTTGTCAAGCTGTTGCAACCAATGGAGGACAGTGTTTATGCTCAAGAGTACCGGACTACAAATAGTCTTTGGATTCTTCAGGTCATCATCATCATCATACACGTTAGCTGGAGGCGGGGAACACCTCAGCTACTGTGCCGCAATACACAGAAAAAAGGAGAAATAAAAGCAACTGGTGTAAGCCGGCTGAGCTACCGGTAACGGATGGGCATCGTTTCGGTAAGCTACCAGTCGGCTACTGTGCATCAAAAAAAATACTATGCGAAATTATATAAAGCTAAATAATGAGATCGTGGTTGGAGGGGGAGGCTAAGAGGGATGGGTCAGGTCAGCTCAGTATAACCCGGTTGCCCCTCTATCCCGAAACACAAGTCATTCCGATAGTCATGTTCACCATGATTCGGGAGCAAAAGGTGCGATAAATGAAGATTGTTGGTTTTTGGAGAAGCACTGACACAATCTCAACCTGAACCGCGGTTTACTGTGAACTAGACTTGTCGTTTTGATCGTTGGATATGGGAGCAAACTCAGGTGCCGCTCACTCTCGACGCTGCTCCCAATGACAAGTCGCCTCCTCGGATCAGGTCGGTGATATGGAATCCTAATCTGCGAGTCCTGGCGGTTCCCCCACGAAATCATGCATTGTTAGCTTAAGTCCAAAGGACGTAAGTAAATACGGTTTACTTCAAACTAGACCATCATGGTGATGACCAGTAAGTAATAAAACCCACATAAGGTAGTGCATTAATATCCAGAATTTATACACTAGCAAAACAGTAGTAAATGAGCGTACAAGCCAAAAACGCCTGCTAACACTGTTCCTCTTGTGGTGCATCAAAAAGACGGCGGTTACTCGGCGGACAATAAAAGCACAACCAGGCATAGCAAACGCACCTGAATTACACCTTCGGAAAAAACAGCGAACTTACTAAAGGTTTCGGGATTCACCCCTTCGATGGGGAAAATTCGTGAGAGCCAATTTCTCGACCAAGTCGTGCCACTGATCGCTATGTGCCAGAATATCGCGAGAGTAGCACACCATAGGGGTTGAATCTCGTTATAACGGTAATGCGCTCCCTCTGAGTGGATGCGGTCAGGCGAATTTTCATTGGTCTATTGGTCGCCTCAATGGACTGGACATCATACGAATCACCAGACCGCTTCATGGTGTGCCTTAGGTGACGGGAATTCGGCGCACTATATTTTGATTGGTGCAAACTGATATCTGGTGCTTACCGCAGTGTCGGAAGTGAAATAAAACTAAATCAGAGTAGTTGACTGGGTGAGGATGAGTCTCCGAGCTTGTCACAGACATAACTGTAATTGCACAAACTACTACATCGCTTTGCTTAAGGTCAAGTGGCTTAGTGCGCAGATTAGCATGCAACACGTGCGAATCGTATTCGCAACCGACTTGACAGCTTCACCCTACATAACTACACACACATGTGGTTGACCTGAGGCAGGCGTGAAGTTTGCTACATCTTGTGATCGGTAAGAAACCGTAGGATTATGATCAATCCTGAAAGTCTGTTCGGTGTAGGACACCTCGACTCAGCCCGCGTGTTTGATTGCAACATATGCGCGTGCGTTTTGGTTAACCGGCGGATAATGTGGCACCCAGTGACCTTGGTGGTAGATGGTCGATGTCGGGTCGTAAACAGGTAGGTGTCGGTGAGTACCTACACTTGCGATGTATGGTACATGATTGGCAAATTCGATGCAACCGTAAGAAGCTAATAAGACACCAGCGGATGCTTAACCAAGTATAAGCATCAGTGCTGTGTAGTGTACCTTGTTACAAAGTTCACTCATAAGTAGTCTCTATTGCGTTCCGGCGTGGTCAGCCACATAACGTCCGTGCGTTGTGGCCTGCATTTCTGCACTTAACCAGTGGGTGAAAGCCCACATGACATCTGGTACGGATCAGCTGATGTAATGTGTAATCCCATGATGAACCATCAGTTGGGTACCATACGCCACATGGGAGCGCCTGGTATGCAATACTTACCCGGAATTACTAGGCGTGAGTGTGTATAGTGCTATTGCAATAGGGCCTAGATTCTTAAGTCACCTCGAGGAATACATGTGTGCTGACTAGGAACGGGATGGAGCCTGAGCGCCATGGCCAGTTTTACTATCCATATTAGCTGCAATGCAAAAATAGCATTACTTGCAGTGATATAACAAGACAACAGCCCCCTGACATCCGGGGTTATGTTTATTGGTGCGGTCGCACCAAAAAAAGCATTCGAAGAGGGTTCGGCCCAGTAGACCGGCCGAAGGAGACTAGTGGCCGAACGCGCAAGTGACCACCAACGAGGAGGTGGATCTAGAGATGATGGTTCAGCCACCGGTTTGATCCAAGTACCTATTCTCCCTGGATTGCTCTGCTAGTGCCCAAGGATGGTTAGCGCTGCGGAAAGGAGTGGGAGCGGGCTACTGCTTCGCTGTTATCCCTGCGAACCACCTGATTACTACCAACAAGGTTATGTGCCAGAACCCCGGTACCGAACAATCCATGAGTTAGAAGCCCTGTGACTGGTTATCAGAATTTAGCTGACAGCATTACTGAGTCCTTTGTTATGGGACGATGGGTTAAAGTGAAGAGCAACATAGCCCCCCCCCCCACGTGGCTTCAAATCAACACGAGTTCATCTATTTGCCAAGTTTAGACAACAAAGGGGCATTAGTGTACTAATCTCCAGGTAGGTGGCGACGAAATGCTTTCACTTTCTTCACGAGACTAACAGATTACCCTAGAAAAACACGTGTGCATGACTGTTGACAATCAGAAGAATCTTAACCTGCTTGCTAGTGAGAATACTACACAGAGCTGCGCTCGTAAAGTACTACAATTCAGCAGACACTGCGAGACGACGTATACATTTCTCTTTGTTTATTCGCCTGTTTAAGCCGGCCACAAGCCTCCAAAATTGCAGCCTTTGGACACCACTGGGATCCTAAATGATGCTCATTTCTTAGAGCTTTGACCAAGAACCCAAGGGTCAGATGATTTCCCCTGCTACGCCTGCAAACGGAGATTAAAGATGTTACCTAACTGTAGAACTCTGAGCCCGACACCCGTACGGAATGTGACACAGACTCGTGCTGCGCAACTGCATGATCACCGGAACCAAACGCATGAGTATGTAGCCGCAAACAGTTACTTAGCTGCAATCGAAAACCAGTGCAGAGGGATGTGAAGTAATGTCACTAACTAAATGTAGCACATTAGTTATCTTTATGTTACTGATAGGCGTTAGGGGTCCCTAACCAAGGTCCGTGACCGGCGGTCTACAAATTCATAACGTCCCACTTCTCGGTTCGGCCTTCAGTAGCTCTGAAAAATCGCTTACAGCCCCGTGCTCTCACAAATTCACAAGGAAATTCCATTTTCAAACATCCTACACCAGAGTCCCACGACTGTATCAGCTCACCGCGGAACCCGTTACCAACGCATCTGTCTTGGATTCAGAGAAACACTGCAAACCCAAGGCACTTAAACTCGGTAGAAATCTCGAACTACAGAGTCTGACTGCACAACCACAGGACCAAGCCACGCTATAATCGGTTGAACCACCAATTACTAACTTGCGGATAATGTAACTGAACTACAGTACCACGTACAATCCCAAAGATGTCAGCAAGAAATCCGCTACTGGGGAGCTCCACTTCCACTCTCAATTAGGTATTAAACCAGCCTTAGAAAGAAGTCTTTCATGGTTATTGCGCCCGGGAACTTCTTTACTCCAAACGTCGTCTGACTGATAGCGGTCCGAATTGGGATTGTTCTTCGTATGCCAGATGCGCGTGAGTAGAACATTTCCGACCACAGTTCACAAATTCCATGATGTTTTTTTCTCTGCCATAAACTCATTCAGTCCTATAAAAATTGTCAATTTGAAAGGCGTAGGATTTTACCGTGGCCCTGCAGTTGTTAACTCTTCTGGTTCCTGTTGACCGCAGCTGATGTGTTTCGCAAATGCAGCACAGCTTTCATGTCTTTATAGCTGTCTCAGTGAAGTAAAAAGTCGAAGTTCCCCGTTAACAAACAAACTCGATCGAGTACGACTCAGTTTTCGAAGTGTTCGCTCTTACTGGGACGTAGGTTAGTGCATACCGGAGGCTCCACATCGACCGTAGTTTGGTATCCACTCTAGATTTGTTCATGTAACTTGTGTGCCTTCTACTAACCTCATTGGACATAATATAGGGCTCTACGCGAATCGTTTTTATGAACAGCACTTATGCCTTAACTGCGTCACTTGGGAAATGTAGTTGCTTAATTCTCTCCATTCTGTTCCCTAACAATAACCATTACACTCACATGCGTGCTGTTGAGCGACCAAGCCTAATTCACTTGTCTTAGTAGGACACTCCTTTCACTAAGCAACCTAAACTGGTGCTATTCGAAGGGCTATCTTATCATCAGTCCAATTTTCAACATATGCCGTCTCTACACGTGGCTGATGAAACACATCAGCTGAGCCATTTGGAAGATGTAATGTCGTGCATTAGCCCCAAGAAGGCAGCCTGTCTGTCAGAAATCATAAAACGGCATGAAAACCGTCATCCCTGCTACTGATTATCCATAGATAGGATAGCGCACATTTCTTCCTACATCGAGGTCTTTGCTAGTGGCTCCTCACTCGACACGCTCCAAATCATTCTGATAGAAGATGTCCATATCTATCTGGTTACATGGAGGCGTCTGTTAGCAAGGCTAGACGACCCACAGATCTCAGTGATCTAGTGATCAAGTCATCAGTCATCAACCACTGTGCCTAAGTTTCTACTCCAGCCCCAGTCACCTCTATTTAATTAGTCAAGCTAAGGACGGAACGCATCATGAAGTGTTGTGTTGGCAATGCGCATTATCGAAATCTCTCCACTGCGGATGCAGTCCTAGTGATCATATCCACCGACCTCTATCACTCTAACTTGTGTGTACCTCACGTTTTACTGTGTATGCATTTTACTGTTCTTCTTAGGTCTCCAAATGTCTGTTATCAATCTGGCGGTAATCCAGATCCAACTTAAACCTCACTTCCTAAGGCAAGTTAGTCCCACCTATCCAGATTGCCACTACCAGCTTGCAATATCTGAGAGCGTACGTGCTCCCGAGGTTCAAAACCACCATTGCTTGCATCCAGGGCCTTGGTCCCTTAACAAATTTACTCCACGGGGTCACGGTCCGTTATTTGCAAACTGACCGGTGAACCCAACCCGTGGAGACATGTCTTATAGATGCTTTTCACCGCTTTGTCATCGCAATTTTAGTATTGTTTAGGCCACCACGGTTAAACGTGTGGAAAACAAATCTTATGAATTGGTTCGATTCCCCTCGACTTCGTCACTCAATCTAACATGAAAACGATAGATTTAAAGAATGGTGTATTGGTACGTGCCTAACAGTTCACATGGCAGCTTATAGATGCCGTGTTTCGGCGAGAGAAATCTTCGATGATCCCCCCTTCTAGTGAACATGACGGATTCGTTGCTCTTATGTACCTCACGAACATCTTGAACCCCCTCTCATCTGCCGAGTAGGCAGCTTGCATGTGCTTTTGATTGGCACACAACTAGAAGAGGAAGTATGTGTAGTGAACACGTAAGATGTGTCGAATGTTATTACTCTTCAGTGGCTGCTCAGTGGACAGAGACAGGGGAGTGGTTGAAACCGATCGTATTGCTCAGTGTTAAGAGCACAAGACATTGATACCTCACAGTGAATCATGTGTGTATGCCGTTTGCTGCTATAGAACCTCCACGTACACATAGTAAGTTATTGAATGACATTGTAGTTCCCTGACACCAACAACACCTATCTTCCTACTCGAAGAATCGCTTTGCTTTTGAGTTTATTGACCGAAACAGTTGGCTACTTTTGCTGGACATTCGGCTTCCCAAGCCTCACCAATAAAACAAGGTACATGTTCGCTAACTATCAACCTGTCGTTCTGCTTATGTCGAACTGGTCTCAAATGGCGAGAACGACTAGTTCGCGCTCTGCTCCCCTGATACTACACCAACC